TTTTGGTGTTGCTTCCCTTCCGGACGCTGATTGAACCCTGGAGACGCACTACACATAAACGACTGCTGACGGGGATCCAATCGATAAGAGAGGACTCCGCTCTGTTGCTGAGTACAATACCTACCCCGCGCTGACCTACTGAGTGGGCTTCGTCGTCGCCTGTTGTGCGAAGAGCATATCTCGAAGACAAATCTGGTGCGCTCAAGTGGCTTATTGTAGTAGGATCCTGGGTACGAGTCTCCGACACGCAGCAAATATCGATTCCCAAGGATTCCATTGTACGCTCCAGACAAGCATATTAACCTACTTGCATCAGGGTCCTCACGTTGAAGGCCCCCAGATTCAGCGATTGACGAGGCTTTAGAATCTGCAATTCGTTTCGAGGTATATTACTTACAGTGCTATTTGGCGAGCGACATCCAAGTTGCTAGAGGGACTATTACAGGTCGGAAGGGGAAAATGGAGTAGGCTGGGTACTGAAGACAAAGAATTAAACAAAGGTTGGAATATCTGAGCAGTAGCCTACTTATCAGTAACTACCCCGCTCGATGCAATGGGCAGCGCGGTCCTGATTATCCTGCGCGACGACCGATGCATTATGGAATTACTTTTATTTTGTGTATATATTACACGTATGTATTATACGTATAAACATTTATGAATTACATCTACTTGGTGTTCAAACGAAAACAATTACATTTCACACCTATCTGAAACCAGACTGTGAGCCAAACAAATCACGATACAAAAAATCTTTAGAAAAAGAAATCAGACCATGATTAGGTCATGCACAAAATGAAACTAGGTTTCTCAGGCCAAAGCAGGTGAATCTTCTTCCATGGAAAGGAGGTCACAACCATAGTCTTCGGCTAGTTGAGGTCTGATCCACAATGGATCGGGCGGTGTGTGAAAACCACAGTTCACTGGGAGTTAGTATCCAGTTTGTCGGATCGCACACTTTTTGAACGAAGTCAAACATCCTAAACGACCAACACACCTCAGTGGTTCATCAAGCCATCATCGCAGACAGAACCAGAAAAGTGTGAGTGTGGGTCTTACGTCTTTTCTTGGTTGGTCTGGAATCGGGAATTTTAACCCGATAAGCCCGGTTATAGTCCCTTCGTGTTGTTTTTTCATGTTTTCACCTCGGTGGGAAAACACCTCAGTCACGTGAAGGCAGTAAAGGTTAACTGAAACGCTTCCTTGAAAAGAAGCATTTCGCGAGGTGTAAGGGACGGTGACTAGTCACAAACCCAAACCATCGTATATGAGATGAGGGTTTTAGTCCCGGGTTTGTTATCATTAGTAGCAACTAGAGACCTGATTTCCAGGGACAAGTAATACCGAGCCACAGGGCTCGAATAAGCCCCATTGCAGTCACTTGGGAATGGAGCCCCACCCACTTTCCTGTCTCTCTTTGATTTTGCGCAACGTAAAAATATTCACCAGATCGGTAATCCAACGATGACTTCTTTTAAGCATTTACTATTCCAAACCGGACTGCAGCTTTGCTATCGATTGCTTATTGTTACTTTTATGGTTTATGTGCCCAAGGCTTCGCAGCTGCAATTCAAAATTTGCTATGTTTACTTGCCCAATTTGAACACAAGAACTAAACCATCCTTACCAGGTGACTGTTTCTTTTCGAGGGCCAATAAGTTGTGGGATGACTCCTCTCATTTTGCACTTCCCTTTCTTACAATATTCATGTATTCAAACAGAATCAATAAACCCGGTCCAACATGATTTTTCTACATCACTCTCCGTTTATGTACACTAGGTTTGATTATGGGAAGAAAACCGCGATAAACTGCCACACAGAATGTGGAAAATAGTGAGGTTGATTGCTGATGAACGGCTTTTTTTATTACACACCGATGTGTATTATTTCAACACGTAACCAATTACAGAGAACTGGCAAATGTGCCACAACATAAGAACAAAAAGAAATCTAAAGAATTTGTTCACAGGTTGTGTGAGCATGTTACTTCCCGGTCACCCTGGCCGAGGAAGGGGGACAACCTCGAGGTCCCCACCCGAAACCTTTCGCTAGAAAGCCAGACCTGCAAGACAACAGAATGGAGCTCAGAGTCCGCAGTCCACTGTGGGCCGGTGTTCAGCTCAATGGATCATACGCCCTTTGGAGAGGGTCAAAAATCCCAGGTGCCCAATACACCTCGATGCCCAATTGAGCCGGTGAACACTGCCACAACCAGGAAGATGTGCGTGTGATTCATACGCCTCCTCTTGGTTGGTTTGGAATCAGCGTTTTTAGGCAACTTGTTTACGTGAACTGCCAATGGTTAACCAACCCGGTTATGGCCCCGGATGTCGGTTTTTCGTTCTCTCACTTTGGTGGGGAAAACACCGCCACGGGAAGGTAGTGAGTAGGGCTTCCTTAGTGAGGCTACTTGCGACGCTTGGTCATTAAGGAACTTTTCGTGAGGTGTAAGAGAATGGTGACCATTCACAATACCGGACACCCACCCCAACCATACTGAGGCTTTTAGGGGCCAAACCAGTGTGATGGACAGTAGACTGGGTGGAACCCCGCAGTCACGAAGACCTGCTGTTCAGTGATGAAAACCGGTAACCTAGGCCCCGGGACTTGGAGTGGCGAACCACATAAGGCCTCGCTATGTCAGGCGTGGTATAGAACCGGGAGACAGCAAAGTTGTCTACCACCAAAGTTAGGTGGCAGTGGGGTAGCTCTGACGTCGGGACACAGGGTCCAAAGCACGCCAGTGGCAGCGACTAAACTACTGCGCTGCTAAGCATTCGAACCGTTTCGGACGAACCAGCTTAAGCTTTAAGCTATAGGGTTCGTGATGCAACATTAGTAAAACAACACCTAGTTCATCAATATTCTAGCAGGGCATTTTCATTGCAATATAATTAGGTGATGAACAGTATAAAGGGTAAACCCCAGATTTACGAGAACTTACTGCTCACTCATGACAATAAGCAAACTAATCCCTGGGACTTGGAGTGCATAGAACCACATACTTTCCAATCTGATACGTTCCAGTCTCCAATCCACTGTAGTCCCCCTGATCAGCATTGATCGTATCTCTGTTGCACACCAAACAAAAAGGAATTATTACTATGTGGGAAAGCCTGATTTAGTGATCATGTTACCGATTCTTTTGTTGTCAATAAACTGGGTACCAGTGGTCACCTGAACAGCAACTCCGAGGCCCCTAG